GGGACTGTTTAGAAAAAAATGAACATGCATTTCCATTTTCCAGGTACTCAATTAAGTGACTAACCCTACAACAAGCTCTGATTCAGTTTTCTTTTTCAAAACTTTGATCTCTCCCCTATAAAGTACTCACTGAGCCAGTAAACTAGACCTAGCCAAATGTAGCTCTGTAGCAACAGGAGCGTGTTGACGATGAAGAGGAAAAGAGTGGGGGGGAAAGAGGAAGGTGGTTCTTGATATCTCCCCATCTGTCTTTCTTTCTGCTATCCACCTTCTCATCCTCTGCGCCTCTCTCTCTCTCTCTCTCTCTCTCTCAGCTGTCTAGCCTTACTTCCAACCAGTTTAGCCGTACTTACTAGCCTAGCAGTCTAGCCGTCATTAAGTACTACTAGTCTCTTCCTTTTTTTTAATGCAGCTTTGGTTGGCCATGACAGGCAGGGTCGGATACCCGCCTCCTAAATTTCTGTAAGTGTCTCGATAAAAGTGTGGTAAAACACCTCCAACAAAAACCTCACCTCCAACGAAAACCTCACCCAAAAAGCTCACCTGCAGTTGTCGCACGTACTCCAACCTCCGGCTCTGTACCGGGCAGTGACTGACGAACCAGGCGACGTCTCGAGTTTTGCCTCTCGCTAGGGACACTGGGAAGAACATTAGATCTAGCTCAACGCAGTGCCAAAAATCTACAATGTTTACCACACAAACAGTGAGGTGTGTCAAGTTCTCCACACAAGCCAAACCTTACTTAACGAAATAAAAAGCAGGAAAAAATGCAATACTGTAGTCACTTAAAACGACACCAGACAATTTTGTGAAAGCGAGGTGTTTGAAGGAGCGACATGGGGCAGGAGAGCGAGGGGCAGACAAACAGTAGCGCGGATGGACAACATTAAAACATGGACTGGTCTGGATATCGCAGAATGTGCGGCGGCGCGCGTTTCCCTTTCATCAACCCGCAGCCACATCCTGAATCAATCAGCCACATTCCAACCTTTGACATGGGTCAAACTTCAATCTATCTATAGGCAGTTACTGGAACATAATAATATGTGTATTTTTTAGGCGAAGTGATGAGCCGTGATAGTCGCAATATTGAGATTGTTTGGTCTCTCTCTACTCATCACCTCGCGAATTTGTTCACTTTTTCCCCTAGACCCTGCCTTTACTTCTACTTCTAAACCTTCAAGATTACAAAGGCCAAGCCTAGGCTTGTAAATCTTTGTTTTGTTAAAAGTGTTGTTTAACACAAAGTCTAAGAAGCTAGCGAACCTAACACATTTTTTCTAACGAAAAATTGACTTTTATATTGTCAATAAGAGATCATGTTTAGTCATCTATTTATCTAAGTAAGGAATAAAACGAACACAGGTTCAAGATTGTCCTAGTGGCTCTATACTAGACCTACATCTAGATCTAGATTAAATCTAGACCAGGTCAAATCCATGAGGCCTTGATACTAGATAATATGTAAACTGGGCCTAGAATTTAGATAATATCTAGATCCAGGTAAATCTAGAAAAATTTACTATGTTTTTGTCTGAGAATGAAATTATTCCTCTTGTGTGCTTTGATAAACAAAGTCTAAGAGGGATGAGTATTAGATCTAGATCTAGGTGCCGCTAAATCTAAATCTAGTATAGAGTCACTAAGACAATCTTGAACCAGTGTACGTTTTATTCCTTACTTAGATGAATAGATGACTAAACATGATCTCTTATTGACAATATAAAAGTCAATTTAAGCTTCATTTCGTTAGACAAATGTGTTAGGTTTGCTAACTCCTTAGGCTATTGGGTTAAACAACACTTTTAACAATGAAGCCTTACAAGCCTAGGGTTGGCCTTTGTGATCTTGAAGGTTCAAATCTAGAAGTAGCGAAGTAGAAGAGTCTTACTCCTAGAGTCTAGTGCAATTTATTCTGCAACCTGCAACTAGATTACAACTAGATCTAGATTCGAGATTTTAGTAAAGGCAGAGTCCAGGGAAAAACATCAACAAATTCGTGTGGTGCAGATGAGTAAAGAGAGACCAAAACAATCTCTCTATCGCGACTATCACAGCACATCCCTTTGCCTAATACATGTTCGGGTAACTACCTATAAATAGATTGAAGTTTGACCCATGTCAAAGGTTGGGATGTGGCTGACGATTAAGGATGTGGCTGCGGGTTGACGAAAGGGAAAAGTGGTGCGGCGGCAGCTCGTGACAGTGAAGGATGGAGGTTCATTACACGTAAACCTTTGGATCAGAGATGACCCCTCCAGGACACAGAAAAAGATGATAAATTCAAGGACCCTGGGGAAAAAATTAACTCAACCCGGTAATTAAAATCTGCAATGGTTAACCCACGGAAATAGGTATACGTAAAACCTGTACTATTTATTGTGGAAAGTTCTACTGATATCCATGTCATTTATAACTTAGGCTGTTTTATGGAAGACTTCTGTAAACTGCTTATGCTCCGATGTGATGTGAGCCAATGGCTTTAAACACCAAATTTGATACCTACATATCTATCTACCTTCTCGAGAAAAAAGTTTATCACAGTTTTAAGACACCATGTTTACAGGCGCTTCGTTGGCTCAGTTGGTAGCATGCTGGACTAAGGAGAGGATGATCCTGATTCAAATCTCAGTCCGGGCGTTCTTGAATTCGAGAAGTGCGAAATTGTACAAGTTTTGCGCCACTTGAAACGCTGTAAGGTTATTGGATATTGAAGAGGAAGGACCTCTGAATTGAACATATCCACCTTAGACGGGACCGAGCCATTGAGATGGAGAGCCCTAACTACTCCTCATAACAACCCACGTTAAGATCACCCCGTTGTGGATTTGATCCATAATCAACGTTTCCAAAGTCCAGCATGATACTGGTACCAACTGAGCTAACAGTGTACCCAGAAATTAAATGAATCATACATATTAAAAGTAATACCCAAAAGAACAGCAACACAAAAAACACAGAAGAAAACAACCCCTTGTAATGCATTGAAGCGTACATACTAAAAGCAACTCCCTATAGGCGGTACATCAGCAAAGAAAACTGAAGAAAATAATCACACCTGTTGATTAAAATCATACAAATTATTCTTAAAAACGACCCCCAAACCCAACCCAAAGAAAAAGAAATAAGAAAAACAAGCAACAAAAACAGCAGAAAACTAGAGAACTGTTGCCTTACGGTAGTGGTCATCTGTCAAGAGCAGATCCTTGTCTCTCCAGACCAGAGGGCCGTAGGATCTGAACCAGTCCGAGTCTGTGCGGTAAGTCAGTGTCCAGTTGAACACGTCACGCCATGGCTGGTAGTTTTCTGGGAAACAAGTCGTTTGTTTATACGTACTTATTAATGAAATGATTCCAAATATGAAAACATCCACATACATAGTATTTATAGTACTACATGTACAGTATAACCCATCCAGCCACAAGAGAAACCTATGGCGATATCTTCTATTATCTATTTGTGGTGGTCGTATTTGGCGATTCAAAAGGCTTTTTAATGGCTGCATCGATCGACATGCGGTTTTCACCAAAAGCTTCGTTATAATATTCTCCAGATCATGACGCCCTTTGTTTTTTCAGTTTTGAGACAAGCTTTGTTGGTAAAAAGCTACATTTCTTTATTTCGCAGATCGCTTTTGTAGGCTGACGCTTCTGTCTCTGTAATTTAGAAAACCCGGAAGTGATATTTCGCGGCAAGGCGCATTTTGTTTTGAGAGTATAGATCTAGATCTAGATCTTATAATTTTTTGCATCTCTCAAGATTTAAAGCCCCATTCCAGTAGAGTGTAAATATAGTAGGCCAATGACTTTTAGTAGATATTAAAGCACCGATCATTCCTTTCATCGAAAGGGGGCCCGGCTAGTTTCTCTATATCCGAGTGTACGGGCGTAAAACACCCAGTCACAAGGAATAAGACTCACTGGGGAAAAAAGTTAGTATAATGTTCATGTGGGTCAAGTTGAGGATTACCTGGAGTTTGAATAGATTCGCAAACACAGAAGTTCAGATATCTGGTGTTAAGGGTGGTCATGCGTGGATTACCCCGAGTCAGAGGGGAAAGGGGAAAGGCCGTACGTCATCAAAAAAGAAAAGACCCGAGGAATCAGTTTGGTCTGCTCATCTCCGGCGTGCGGGTTTACCACGGTGTGAGCAGCTCTGAAGCTGTGTCATTTCTGGCTATCGGGAAAATTTATCAACAGTTCATTGAACGCACGATGGGATAAGAAACGAATGGGTTTCTTTATTTTTAGAATTATTTGAGGGTTGTTTTTTTTTGGTAAGTGTTCTACGGCACTTGCAACTGCATAGGTCATATGAGCGCACGGGCCACACCAAACATTTTCAATTGGTAGGAAATTTTGAATTTTGCCCGGGTGGCGGCCGAAGCCTGCTCTTATCGATTTTGGACGACCAAAGGATCTTTAACGTGTGCAACTAGCACACTGGACCCCTGAGATGTTTCGCCCTTGTCCGAGAAGGCTAGGTGTAAATCTTTCCTACCAAAAGATCAGGGGTGTGGCTGGAAAGACAGCAGTAAGAAGGAGCCAAGGAGTAGCAGTAGAAAGGCTGCAGAAAGAGTCAGGAGCCCAGAGGTGGGGGCAAACGAGGTGAGGGGGTGGGGGCAGAAAGTGGAGACAAAAAGCAGACAACAGAATATTGCAAGATAGAATAAAATAAGGTGAAAGGAGACAACTTTTATAAAAGAATTTTGTTCGGTCGCTACCCGGATTCGAACTGGGGACCTTTGAATGAGAGGCGAACACTTTCACCTCTAGGCCTCGAGAGTCCCCGGGTTTGTCTAGACCTAGTAAAATTGGCAATATAATTCTTTTAGACCCTGTGGTTTGCGCACCGGTTTTGCTAATTTTGAGGCACTGATAAATATGAATATGGCATAATAGTTTTCATCCGAACATAGAATTAGAAATATAATTTTTTAGCTCTAGCTAGACCTATGGATGAGTCGCCACATGGCCTGAAAGAAATGCCGGTGTGGCTTTCCAGCAGACCGGCTTCTTGTCGTGAGGAGCCGCTTCTTTTTGGTGGACACATACAAACAACGTGATTGGGACGGTAAAATACTTGTGCTCTTTTTCAGCGGGCAATTTTCTGAAAGACAGATCGTTAATTTTACAGTCGGTTGGTGTCTGGTTCGGTGGACACGGGTGCTATATGTTGTTGTTGTTGTTGTTGTTGTTGTTGTTGTTGTTGTTGTTGTTGTTGTTGTTGTTTGTTTTCTAAATTATATTTGTCAAGCGTGCTGACAATGTTTCTCAGATTCAAGCCTTAAGGAAATACATACATCATGCTTATAGGTGAAGTTTTTACAATACATAAGTAAGAAAAAAATAAAGGGCATGTTTTACGTAAAGAATATGACATCAATATAAAAATCTACAAATTTGACCCATTGTCGATCTTTGGCCAATACAATGTATCCCCATTACTGGATTGCGAGAAGTAACTCATTTCGTCTGCACGCACCACATTTACACTTATTTTATTTTTTAATAAAGAGCACGATGCGGGTGATTGTAAGACGTCCCTGGTACGTTCTGCTTCTTTACTTGTTTCTGTCTATCTGTTGGGCTTCCTACCCATACTACATGACCGTTATTGTGCCGATATGCTTATCTACACTCAAACCCAAACTCAAAAAAAGCAAGGCCCACTTGGTTTTGATTACAGCTCTATCCTGTGCCTCGACATCCGCCTGTCATGAGACAGGAGAAAAACAGAAAGTCTTTTGACATCCCAACTGACAACATTTAAAGCATCATGATGACAGTTTGTTTCCACTCTACCTGTCACTGACGAGCAGGACGCTCAATTTGGTCAAGAGGGAGTCCTTGTTCGCCATGACGTTCAGAGGGTTCATCGACAAACACCCGCTGTTACATCACTAACAACAACAGCAACAGCAACAGCTGCAGTGCTGGAAATATGCCAGCAGAAAAAGAGAGATGATCACTAACTCTCAGTTCTATCATGGGAAAAAGGAGACATTTTTGATTTTTTAAAAATCTAACACTTGTGCTACGGGACAGGAGACTCAATCACCACAATAATTTTTAAGTGTAAGTTTTTCCCCCCTCATCAACTCAATGTTGGGTGTTCAGGAGGCGGGCTTCGACCAAGCCTGTCGGACTGAAAGGCATACAAGCAGAGAGACCAAAATACTCGAAAAAACGTTCTTCCCACACGGGAATTCACATCCGGTTCACTGCATGCACGAGGGAGACACCTATCCACTGCACCACAAATGCTGGTCTCAACCACTATGTAACACAAAACTAGAACCCCCCCGTACAAAAACTCACGCGGGTATCCAAAGTAAGGCGGCGACTCCATGGAGGCCATGACCCAGATTTGTCCTGTGGGTCTCGGAGGCGGTCGTTCCTTGCCCAGCATGCCCACGAAGAATAGTACAACATCCGCTGACGCCATCTCCTTCCTGCCTCCGATGTATTCACAGGAAGGACACGGGCACGCCTGGAAGTCTCTGTTCCTTTTCATGGCAGAATCGTCCATCCAGTCAGGGCAGTTGAAACAAGCAATGCGTTTCTTTTTCTTCCCAGAAGGATTGCAAGATTTGAAACCACCGGAGTGGAAATTTAGTCCAGTAATTTTTGAGGACACCACGGGAGTTATTATGTAAGGAGATTTGAAACTGTGGCTCTCGGCAGCTTCATACCCCATCTTTTTCAGCTCCCTTAAAGCAATCAGTTTGCTGCTGATAGAATTAAGGCGTCCCAACCAGGGGAATGTGCCCACTATTGTATCAATATTCGGCTCAGGAGCCGTCACAGGATTGAAATTACCAGCAGGTTTTGTTTGGGCCATTTCTTGCCGTGGCTGCTCAGGCAACCATATTTTCAAGTAACCCAGGACAATTGACGCTATACCGCTATGGCTGAGGTAAGCGAAAGTCAAGAGAACTATGATGAAGAAGATGCCTGACTTAAGACATATTTTTTTCCTTAGTCTGTAAGTGTGGAGTGTGGGTGGCATGTCGTATTATGATGTTGCTGCCTTTGTTAATGTTGTTGTTGTTGTTATTATTTTTATTGCTGTTGTTGTTGTTGTTGTTGTTGTTGTTGTTGTTGTTGTTGTTGTTGTTGTTGTTGTTGTTTTCGTTGTTGTTGTTGTTGTTGTTCTTGTTGTTGTTGTTATCAATGTTGTTACTGTTATTTTTTATTTATGTTGTTGTTGTAGTCGTTGTTGTTGCTGCTATTGTTGTTGTTAACGATGTTGTTTTGTATGCTTTTTTCTTGAAATGTTTTTAATCCATGAAATTACCAATACGTGGCTTCCCCTGGCATACAGGTTTCGGAAAATACGCAGTAATGGTTTGGGAAGAAACGAAATGGTCTTTCTCGCGCCGTTTCTGTCAAAAAGAAGCTTCTGTAGACTGGACAAGGCTACACAATGGGAGTTCCAGAGTTGGTACAACCTCTAACAGCTAGAAAGCCTCGGCATGGGACCCTTATAGAACCATCTAAGAAGATGGGAACCACACCGTTGGGTAAAATCATATCACGAGACAAGACATGGTACTTCAAACTCTTACTAGCTGAGGTTCTAATATGCTTTTGCTAACAAGCGAGTGGTTAGAGGGTGCCACTGGTAACTACTATTTTTTTTTCTTTCTCTCCGTGGTTTCTGTCTTTCCGTCTTGCTTCTTCCCCTCACTGTGCGATCTTTGTTGAGTCTATGTGCGTCTCTTTACTCAAACTCAAAAGCTGACAAGTCGTAATAGGCCTACTCTCAAATAGTTCTCTGTGACAAGAGTCCTGAACTTTGGCTTGAAGTACACGTGTGCTGTAGATGAGCCTTTGCCTCTGGAAAACGAAAGAAAAAAATAGAGATAACTTTTGCCATGCGACACACATTTAACTTAGAATAAGATTGACAGAGATACCTTTATGTAACAGTTTTATTTTAGCTCACACATGGCGGGTATTCACATAGCGAAACACGCACACAGCAAAACACGCACATAGCGAAACATAAGGTGGGTGAAGGGTTATGGCTTAGTGGTTAGGGTTAGGTTTGGGGTTATGCTTAGGGTTAGGGTTAGGGCTCGGGTTATGGTGGTTAGGGATAGGGTTATGGTTATGTTTATCGTTAGGATAAAGGTTAAGTTTGAGTTAGGTTAGGATCAGGGTTAGAGTTTAATTTATGGTTTGGGCAAGGACTATTGTTATGGATAGTGTTTAGTTTAGGGTTATGGTTAGAGTTCGAGTTAGGGTAGGTGTCAATGTCAGGTTATTTGATTGCATACAATGGTTTTTAGTACGTGAGCATTATTTAAAGATATTTTAGTGTAGAAATTAAGCCAACGTATTTTTCAAAACTTGGTTTCGTGGGCTCTCGTTGCCAAAGGTTAAAGTCTTTGCCTCTTAATCACTTGGTCCCGGTTTCGAATCCGGAATTTTTCTTCTCTAAAATAATCTCTTTTCACACCCTTTCCTGCTCGCTAGCAATATTCTGTCGTCTGCTTTCGTCTCCACCTTTTGCCTCCACCCCCTCACCTCCTTTGCCTCCGCCTCTGGGCTCCTGGCTCTTTCTGCAGTTTTTCCGCTGCTACTCCTTGGCTCCTTCTTACTGCTGTTTTTCAGCCACACCCCTGATCTTCTGGTAGGAAAGGTCTACACTTAGCCTTCTCAAACAAGGGCGAAAAATCTCGGAGGTACCGTGTGCAAGCTGCGCACGTTAAAGAGTAGACTTCGGCCGCCACCCGGGCAAAATTCAGCATTTCCTACCAACTGAAAAAATGTAATGTGTCCCGCGCGCTCATATGACCTTATAAAGTTGCGAGCACTGTAAAAAAAACAACCTTGGTTTCGTGTTAGATTGTGCTTTCTGTGGATTTCGGATTGGGATTTGGGAAGTCTTCCTCACACCAAATACCAGCAAATCCCAAAAACAAACCCCAAAACCAATTCCTAAAACCAATTCCCAGAACCAATTCCAAAATCTGTCTAGCACTACACTGTCAATGTGGCAGACCTCCATTAATGCTAAGTCCGAGTGGGGAATTGTGAGAAGAAACCTCCAGTCTGAGGCAGTTCTTTGAAGAAAGCAAACAGAACAGAAAGCGTAGTTGGATTTTTTGGTTTTAATTTGAAAAATGAATGTTATTTTTTTCCACCTCTAGTAGATTGTATAGTCCATTAGTCGACTGGTCCAATCTGTTGTTTTGACTGCGGTTCAAACCAACCACATGCAAAAGGGCTTTGATCTAATGGGTGCTTAAATACATATGATAGAACTATGTCATCGAGAATCCAGAATAGAGTTACGGATTTACCCATTCAGATTTGATAGAGTTGGGTATAGTCTAGAGTTAACAGGTTCAGCCAAACTCCATTTTGTGGAGTCACTTGCAAATTGCTGCATTAGAAGAGTCTGTGTAACGAAGCCTGTGCCGTCAAGAGAGAGAGAGAGAGAGAGAGAGAGAGAGAGAGAGAGAGAGAGAGAGAGATAGAGTGGAAATGTTTTTCTATCTGTATAGAATTAATGTTTTAATGAATGTTTCTAGTTACTCACGTTTCAACTGTATTTTGACTGTTCGTGAATTCATATTGCATTGCATATTTTTAGTGAACACATTTTCAACCTCACTGCGAGACTGTTTTTCTGGTATAAAATTTTACACTTTTATGCATTTATATTATATGTATAATACTTTGTTTTACGTACACATTTGTGTCGATTAATTTTTAAGATGTGATGTCTTTTTCATTGTAATGCGCATTGAGCATCTTTTAGGAAATGGAAATGCGCAGTATAAATGCTATTTATTATTATTATTATTAAGATAATGGAGAACAAACGGCATTTTCTCCGTAGAAGTCGTTGGAACATCCCTGTTGTTAGGGCAGAACCTGACTGCATGAGCTGGGCAAAGAATCGAGTCGGGAACCGATTCCCAAAACTAATGCTACGAAAGAAAAGGTCTGACTCCTTTTTACGTAAACTAGCCGTGTGGGTTGTTGGGGGGTGCTCTGGTGTGGTTTGCTCATTCTTTCCTATCAAACATGTATCGTCCTTATCTCCCCTACTTCTTTTTTATGTTTGTTACTCTCTTGTAACACTTCGAATTGTCTGGCACTCATATGACCTTATGCAGTTGCGAGCGGCGTAAAACCCTCAAGTAAAACTAACAAAACCAGCCGTAACCAGTTACTTTAATCAGTAAAATCTTCTTTTTTTATTTTTAGAATTTTTATTTTGGAAAAATAAAAATTGATGCTTCGTAGTGTTCCGAAATTAAGGTTATCTTAAATCATAAAGATGTTCGGAGCTACCAGGTAACCACAGGAAGAAATCCCATCATTGGAAAGTAAGTAACTGGGTTCGGAGTCGATTCCTACGATTCCTACGATTCCTACGATTCCTAGCTTTCAATAACCGGAACCTCCTCGCCCGGCACTACTGACTACATGATCTGGCCTCATTCATAGGTCACAGTCGACGAAAAAAAAAAGGAAACACCTTTCTTTGGTTCCAAATAGGACAGAGTCAGGCATTGCATTGGAAGAGGCAAAAGAGGAAGACATTCGGAAACTTCAAGAAGTGCATTCTGGAGAGAGTTGAGGAGGGGGGAGGAACCCTCGCTAGTTTCGTTACGTCTGTGCTTCACAACAGAGCCACTGGTTGAGGAGGGGGGAGGGAGGGAGGGAGGAGGAGGGGGAGGAGGAGGT